ATTTAACATTATTAACCAATTTATAATAATTATTAGAAAGAAATTGAAAAGTCATGGAGGTTTCCATGACTTTTCAATTTCTTTCTAATAATTATTATAAATTGGTTAACAATGTTAAACTAATGCAAAAACTAAATTCTAATCATAAATTAACTAAACTACAATATTAAAATATCATATTTTACTTTTATTTATAAAATTATGACTTTAAAATTTTAACATATTATAGTTAACTTATTAGTTTAGATATGTTGTCGTATGTGAGCAATTATTATTTTAAAGTCAAAAAATTTCTCGTGCGTTGCGCAAAATACAACAATATATTTGAAATCTTTACAAATATATGTTTTTTAAATATATCAATGACGTTGTTGCTAGCTCTTATATAATAAATCTTATAATAAGTTGGTATAAATATTGTTTGTTTTGAATTATATAATAATATAGACATTTTTTAAAATTATATAATCCCAATTGTCTCAATGGCCTCTACCCATGGGTTATTATGAATAAAATTAAATATAATATATGGTTTAATGATATTTATAGTTGATGTTGTGATTAGTTAATTTTAAAAAAGTTTATTTGCTTAAGATTTTAATTTCTAACATTGTAATTATTTAAAACATCAAACATTGTTTTTTGTTTTTAAAGATAATAATATAATTTTCGGATATAATGTTATTTTTAACTATTGTTGTTGTAAGTTATTTAAAATAACTCATTTTGAAACTCTTAGTTATTTTAATTTAGTTCCAGAAATAAAACTTTTTAAAACTTTATTTGATGAATATTTTTAGTTTATTTGATTGTAATTATTTAAAACAACAAACAATGTTTTTATTTTTAAATATAACATTATAATAATATTACTTTTAACTATTCTTATTGTAAGTTTTTTTAAGCTACTTATTTAAAAATTCTTAATGATTTTAAAAAATAGTTTCATGGTTTCTTTTTGTTAATTTAGGATTACAATTTAGGCTTAACACTATAATTTATAACTTTTAACTATTTATAAAATAGTCTCTCAATTTTTTCAAGTTTAATTGAAATTTTGATTTAAGTTAACTGTTTAACATTATATTGAAATTAACAATTTAACTATTTTGCATAAAATCATAAATTATACAAAAGTTGTGACTTTAAAATGACAATTGCTCACATACGACAACATATCTAAACTAATAAATTAACTATAATATTTAAAAAAGTTAAAGTCATAATTTTATAAATATAAGTAAACTATGATATTTATATTGTAGTTTAGTTAATTTATGATTAGAATTTAGTTTTTGCATTGATTTAACATTATTAACCAATTTATAATAATTATTAGAAATAAATTGAAAAGTCATGGAGGTTACAAATGCATCTAGTGCAAGTAAAAATGTCTCATTTATAAGTATAGTAGGCGAATATCCGCCCGTTGCGCAGAATACAACAATATATTTGAAATATTTATAAATATATGTTTTTTAAATATATTAATGATGTTGTTTGCTCTTATATAATAAATATTATAATAAGTTGGTATAAACATTGTTTGTTTTGAATTATATGATAATATAGATATCTTTTAAAATTCTATAATCTCAGTTGTCTCAATGGCCTCTACATGCCGGTTACTCATTAATAAAATCAAATATAATATATGGTTTAATGATATTTATAGTTGTTGTTATGATTAATTAATTTTAAAAAAGTTATTTGTTTGTTATTTTAATTTCTATCATTTGTAATTATTTAAACATCAAACATTATTTTTGTTTTTTAAAGGTAACAATATAATTTTGTATATAATGTTACTTTTAACTATTGTTGTTGTAAGTTATTTTAAATAACGTGTTTGAAAACTCTTAATTATTTTAATTTGGTTCCAAAAATTTAACTTTTTTAAAATTTATTTGTTAAATATTGTTAATTTATTTGATTGTAATTATTTAAAACAACAAACATTGTTTTTGTTTTTAAAAGATAACATTATAATTTTTTATATAAAATTACTTTTAATTATTCTTATTGTAAGTTATATTTAAGCCACTTATTTGAAAATTCTTAATGGTTATAAAAAATAGTTTCATGGTTTTTTTTTGTTATTTTAGGATTGCAATTTAAGTTTAACACTATAATTTATAACTTTTAGCTATTTATAAAATAGACTCTCGATTTTTTTTAAGTTTAACTGAAATTTTGATTTATATTAACCGTTTAACATTATATTGAAATTAATAATTTAGCTATTTGGCATAAAATCATAAACTATACAAAAGTTATGACTTTAAAAAATGACAATTGTTCACATACGACAACATATTTAAACTAATAAGTTAACTATAAAATGTAAAAATGTTAAAGTCATAATTTTATAAATAGAAGTAAAATATGATATTTTAATATTATAGTTTAGTTAATTTATGATTAGAATTTAGTTTTTGTATCAATTTAACATTATTAACCAATTTATAATAATTATTAGAAAAAAATTGAAAAGTAATCAAAGTTTTTAATGAATGTGATGCAAATATATATATATATATATATATATATATATATATATATATATATATTTGATTATTTGAGTATAATTTTTTATTTTGGTAGTCACGTGTCCTTCTAATTATCTACTTTTTAAAAGCTAGAAGAATAGTTTTTATAAAAAAAAAAGAAAAAAAAAGAAACTTAATATATTAATATAAAAAAGTTTGAATGTTTGATTATTTGAGTATAACTTTTGATATTTTGATAGGCATGTGTCCTAATTTTCTATTTTTAAAAGAGTTAGAAAATTGTTTTCAAAAGTTTTGTCATTCAGAAAAGGCTAGCGGCGTAACTTGTTGTTCGTTTGTCTTCAATCGATATGTATTGAATTATTATAATTAACGATTAAGCCATTGAAACAAGCTAATTCATTAGAAAAAAAAAATGTAAAATAAAAAATAAAAAAAAACTTCAAAATATTAATATAAAAAGAATTTTTACTAACTTCTTTAATAACGAAGTTTTAGTATCATCGCATACTCATGATAGTATGATACGACTCCTAGCTGCTGCTTTTTTTTTTTTTTTTTCTGACAAGAAAGTTTTATTACAACCTTGTGTGAATTTTAATATTACATTGTTATATTACATAAAAAAAATAAATCGTACTATCCTCGTATAAATAGCCCCAACTTTACCTTCCGAAAACCATCAAAGATTTCTTCCGCTTCGCGCATTTCTACGGATCAGAGCAAACCCTAACCCTAGATTCGATAATGTCGTCCAAGCAAGGTACCCCCAATTATTCTCAGTTCTCATAGGCGATCTAATTTTCATGAATTCTCAGTTTCGTTGAAATCGTGTTTGATAATTTTTGTTATGGTTGAATTTATGGAACAATTTGTTCGTATTGAGCAGGTGGAAAAGCGAAGCCATTAAAGCAACCAAAGTCTGAAAAGAAGGAATACGATGAGGTATTATTTATCATCATGAGCAACTCATTCTCCTCTATATTTTGTTTGTTCATAATTATCTACTTTGTCGATCGACGATCGTCATTTGATTGCTCGAAAAAAATATATCTAACATGATTAGTTATTCACGTATGGTAGTTTTAGTTTAATATCTCAATCGATAGGTAACTGTAGCTTAAGTTCTCTTGTTAGTTGTGTTTTGATGGCGAAATTTTGTTTTCTAAGCTTAATCGTGCCTTGTTTGTGATGTTTGAAGATCCGTTTCCCTGCTTAAGTTGTAGATTGGCCTTATGATCTTATCTAGTCAGCAATCATATGATGTTTCAAACTTTTGTTCTTGAGCTAAACTCAAATAATTTTATAAGAAAAAGGTTTATGCTCGATGCAAATCTGTAGCTGCCATTAAAATTCACCAGAGTTTCTTTCATATTAATGCTTATCAGCTTATGTGCATCCCACTAGTCGTATTGTTGTTCTTCCATTGAGTTGGGGAAACATAGGTTTAGAAAATATATAAAATATAAAATCGGTTAAACTCAACTGTATAGTGTTGTGATACAAAAATAATATCTTCCAAATGAACATAAGCATACAATTTGCAAAACTTATTTGCTTAGAGCTTCAACCATGGTACCAAATTGTTAATTCCTTTCAATTCATATGGGCAGAATCCTACCCTTGCTAATTCATTTTGTTAATCCAGGTTGATAAGGCCAACATTCAAAAGAAGAAAGATGAGGAAAAGGTGCATCATTTTCTGTTTTTTTCTTTTTGTTTAAAGTACATTAAAATCTAGGTTGCTAAAATGTGATATGCATTTTGATCAGGCACTTAAGGAGCTTAGAGCCAAAGCTCAAAAGGGAGCTTTGGGAGGTACTGGTCTCAAGAAGAGTGGAAAGAAATGATACCAAGTGATTGTTATGTGCACTGATTTCTGTATCAAGTTTTCTGTGATTGTTCTTGTAGAAATTAAAGAGGAACAATATTGGTATTCTTGTTTTCTGGTTCTATTTGTTTGTGTTCAATATGCAACTTTTATTTTCTTTTGTTTTCAATTTGAAAGATGTAGCATTTTTAAATGGGTTGATTCAGATTATGATTGGTGCATATTTGTATTAGGGTTCGAATTTCAACTGTGAACTTCATGATTCAAAAACAATAACATATTACAGAAATCAAATTGGATAAGCAATATGTGAAGAATCTAGGAAAAACTTCACCAAGGATTATTTCATATTTCTTATTTCTATTCTCATCAAACAAAGATTGTACATATCAATTCACCATTTTTCAGTCTACAGATTTTAACATCTCTCTCCCTTTTTATCAAAATAAAAGCGAACAAGTAATTGTAATCATTCAAGGATTTAGTAGCTACGTCCAGGGTTCTCATCAAGATTCAAACCTGTCATTGCATCAGAAGTGGTTGCGATGGAATCATTCAACCCAGAGCTTACCTTGGCTAATATATGAGCATCATTGTAGTTTCTAACAGCTTGCACGATTGCCCTAACGCTCTTGTAAGGATCAGAACAATCGAACACTTCAGATCCCACAAACACACCATCGCATCCTAGTTGCATCATCAGGGCTGCATCTGCAGGTGTTGTAATACCTCCGGCAGCAAAAATGAACCACCGGAAGCCTACCCATTTGCTTTGTTTGCGCCAAGATGTCGTAAGGTGCGCCCAATTCTTTCGCGAACGTGAATACTTCATCTTCATCCATGTTTGTTAAAACCCTAATTTTCCCCATCACTTCTCTCACGTTTCGAACAGTTTCAACAATGTTGCCTGATCCAGATAGATCTCCTTGAGTTCTGATCATCGCCGCACCTTCTCTCACCCTCCTTAACCCCTCTCCCAAATTCCGACATCCACACACAAACGGAATCCGGAAGTTATGTTTGTTGATGAAGTTATCTTCATCGGCTATCGCGATAACCTCGTTCTCATCTATGTAATCAACGCCGACAGCTTCGAGTATCTGCGCTTCAACGAAATGCCCAACCCGCGCTTTCGCCATAACCGGAACTCCGACAGCCCGTTGGATTTGTTTAATAACGGCCGGATCGAGCATCCGTGAAATTCCTCCGGATTCCGATTGCTCTGCCACAATGACACAACAAGCTCCGGCGGATTCAGCGATCTTGGCTTGGTCAACGTTTGTGACTTGGACAATCGCTCCGCCACGGAGCATTTGGGCTAATCCGACCTTAACTGAGAAGGCATTCTTGTTCTTCTTGTTGGGATCAGATATGGCGTTGCTTCCATAAACAGTGACTGCAGTGTCGTCGGCCATGTGTGAAGTGTTTGATAGAATAGAAGCCAAATGAATTCAAGAGATTTGAATTGCGTTAGAATGTATAGAGATCGAGAAGATTTATATATAGAATTTGGAAAGTAGCAGCGATGGAGAGAGATCGAGAAGTTTCTGTAAGGTTCGTCGGTGGCTTCTTCCAGGGAAATTGCATAAAGTGTCCTCCCTTGTCTCGCACAGAATTTGACCAATTTCACAATAACTCACATACACCATTTCACCGTTAATCAAACCTATTTTCATATTTTGAAAGATGAATTTGGAAAAATAGCAATATAATTTGTTTTTTTTTTTTATCAATAATGATATATTTTTAGATTTTATATTATTAATAATAAGAAATCATAATTTCTTGTCGCCTTTAGAGTTTTAACAATGGATTGTTGACCAGTTATCTAACTTTTTTATATGTTGAATATGGTGATATGACATTGATTGGATAATCACATTGTATTTTAATTTACTTAAAAAAAAAAGCTTAATTTTGATAATTTTAATTAAATCCTTGTCTTGATTAACGCGTCGGCCCTTCAAGTTTCATCCCCTCACACCTCTCGTCCCTCCACATAAGCAAAAATGATCATGTGCATGAACTTTTGCTATTTGATAATTATATATAGTCAAAATTGCAAAAATGGTACTGTGGGCAAAATTTTGGGGTTTTAGTCCAAACCCCGAGTTTTTTGGATTTATGGTCCTTTTGGAGTGGTTTGTATGTAAAAGTAGTTTCTCCGAAAATTGAAATGACTATAATACCATTGGGGTATTTATTTTTCATTTTTTTAAAATTTAATATTTATTTATTTATTTTAACAATTAAAAAAAATAATAGAGGATCTCTCTCTCTCTCTCTCTCTCTCTCTCTCTCTCTCTCGTCCCTTGTTTCACCGGATGGGCAACGAAGAAAAGAAAGCGTTGCTGCCCTTTAGATTGTACCCACCAGCTGCCCTCCACCTCTTCTCTAACATTTTACCGTCGAGCACAACCCTAAACGCACCCACCAACTAATCTCTCTTCCTTTACACTGTACCTCTCTTCTCTCTCTCGTTGTACATCTCCGGCGAGGAAAGAATCCAACGAACCAAGGCTGTCGCCCCTGTTTTAGTTTCTCTCTTTCCTCCCTCATTCTTCCCTATCGATCAACAACTCAAAACATCCCCTCGTTTGCAGTGGTCCTCGATTTTGGCTTCGATGAAGTGAGAGGAAGAAGAACTGTTAAACTAGCGAGCTGTTACAACTCCCCAGCCATCCTCACTTGGTTCTCCGTCACCTCCAGCCTCCTCTCTCCGCCTACTGTTGGTGATTTGAAGCCACAGCTCTGACGAGTGAGCTATCAGCCGAGAAGGAGCTCATCGGAAAAACTGGATGCTCTTACCTTCTCCACCATTATAGCCGCCTCCGCCTTTCCCCCCTTGTGACTGCTTAACTACTGCAGAACTACACTCCACCATCGGAGCTTCCTGATCGCAGCCTTCCATTCGTGATTTCAGCTTCTCCGAACAGACAAAGACGGAGACCTGTTCCCTTAGCTCTCAACTAGAGATGATGCAAGTTAAAGCCTCAGAGGGTCGCCGAAGATCGACCACTCTGTCCCTCCTCGCGATTTCAATGACCACCATCAGAACTTCTCATCACTTCCGATTCGTTCGTTCCTCCAAATCCCCAAACAGATGAAGAAGACGATGCGTGTCATTTCCTCTGCGAACCCCTTTCACATGTGTGTTTTTTATGTTTTGAGAGAGAGAGAGAGGTGGGCCCTCTATTATTTTTTTAATTGTTAAAATAAATAAATAAATATTAAATTTAAAAAAATGAAAGAAAAATGAAAAATAAATACCCCAAGGGTATTATAGTCATTTCAATTTTCGGAGGGACTATTTTTACATACAAACCACTCCAAAAGGACCATGAATCCAAAAAACTCGGGGTTTGGACTAAAACCCCAAAATTTTGCATACCACAGGGACCATTTTTGCAATTTTGTCATATATATATATATATATATATATATATATATATATATATATATATATATATATATATTAAAGCACATGGATCCGAGAGAAGATCGGAGAGAAGCCACTTCTTTCTGTCTCTAGCTTTGTATAGGTAATGTTGCCACATTTTCAGTTTTGAGTCAACATATTATGCCATGGTTAGGCTTCTTCCAACAACATATGCTGCAAAAAGTACTAATGTGTAGACTTGATTTATATGCTTAAAGACACAATTTTCTTAAAATATCTAAACTGGTATTCTTGCTTATCTGGAACTGCAAACCTATCATTTTTTTCTCTTGTTTGTACATATATTATATGCATTGTATTCATAATGATCGCTTAAAAGTTAAAAATATATACTATATCTTATAACCTATAGAATAAGTTTATTTTTTATAAAGCAGCAATAAAGCTCATATGTTCATGTCTGTATGGTTTTTCTACAGGCAGCTCGCAACAATGTGCTTCTTGTTGTTCCAACATTCCTCTTTCTTTGTTGCTTATTGGAATTAGCATAAATCAAATGCGTTTTTTACCCGAGGGCTCTACTGCAATGGGTCTTCCAGTTGTAGATAATTGTCAGTCTAAATCAAGTCGTGATCACTCATCAATATGTTTACATATTTTTTTTAGTGTTTCTAAACGAGCTTTGCACAAGTTGGATCAATTGATTTTCTTTTTGCAAAAATTGGGTTGAAAAAAACTGACAAGACAACAACAATTTCTATTAATCTCACCAAATTAGTGTGTAATTAAATACTTACAAATCACAAAGTTATTAAAAAAAATACAATATTACAATTCATAAGTTTTCTAACTTGATGGTATATTATTTTATTACATAATTAATTTTTTAATATTTTTTTATTATATAATTAATTTTTTTAATTCTATTTAATATTAACACCCGTGGGTTCCACGGGTTTTAACCTAGTTATATATATATATATATATATAATATATATACTATATATATATAATATTATATATATAATATATATATATATATATATTAAAGCACATGGATAGTTTTAACAGTAATTTTTTTCAATTCATACTTTTGACACTTTATTTTTATTTGTTTATATTTTTGCGTTAACCTTTTTCAATTCATATTTTGCCACTTTTAACTTTTTCTAATTCATACTTTTGCCACTTTACTTTTATTTTCTTACATTTTTGCCTTAACCTTTTCCAATTCATAATTTTGCCACTTTTAGCTTTTCCTAATTCATACTTTTGCTACTTTACTTTTATTGCCTTACACTTTTGCCTTAACCTTTTCCAATTCATATTTTTCTTAACCTTTTCCAATTCATATTTTTGCCACTTTAGTTTTATTTCTTTCAAACCCATCCGAAACATGGGTCCTTTTCCTAGTTACAATGTGTCACACCCCAAAACCAAGAACGGCGGAAACGTTCAGGGGTCGAGGACGTCATGTAAAGTATCATAACAGTGCAAAGTAGTAAACAAGCAACAACATCATCCATTGCATTAAAAGTAAAGTTTTAATACATGAGTGTTCTTTCATTGTAATAAGACACCAACATATGTAAACAAAATAAAGACGAGTCTTGTCTGTGCTCCGTCTTCTCAAAACCCTGGTCATCGTACCTGTCTACTGGTGACCTGAGAATACAAGTTATTTTGAAAGTATAGATCAGCATAAAGCTGGTGAATTCATAAGTATTATGGTGTCATTGATTCGAAAAGCTGTTATGAAAGACTTGTAAATGTTTAATGAAACATTTAGTATAAGTGTGAAAACCCTAGAAAATCCCATATTTCCTACTAGTATAAAAAGTAGTCCTCTATCAAGACCCGAATGCTTTGAAGGTTTGCATTTGTGTATCAATGAAGATTTTTCCCTGTACAACTATTATTATAAAAATATAGTCTACCTCATCGTTTATGTGAATGTGTCACAAAATAAAAGTAATAGGGAAAATTATATAATCATTGAAATCGTATCCTTTTGCCTTAGGATAATCACGGCGTGGAAACTCGCCGAACAGTACAACCGAGAACATCCATCGATGAACAGGTCCCGCTGTAGCTAGCAGCCAGGTGTAGGATGGTCAGTCCCGTATAGTATATATAATATCTCTCTCTGTATAGTATATAGTATTTCTCTCTATATAACAAGTAATAGTATCTCTTCATATAGTAGTATAGACTCATGAATGAACCGACTCTTGTGTAATTCCTTGTAATAGGAATAAAAATTTGTATCCCCTAAACTATACCTATAATAGTTTACTGGAATGTAAATTGAATGTCCAAGTAGGTTTATACACCCTTGCTACTCAAGAGTGTTGGAACTGAATAAAGAATGAAGGAACCTTTATATCTATATACATATACATGATATATAACTAGGATTCAAACGACCTTCGGACAAATAACCGATACCCTAAGTCCACAACCCAACGAGGAACAGGAGGTAGGGTGAGTTATCAGGTTCTAAGTCATTTCAATCCTACTTATATAACTATATCTATAAAGATATACATTTAACAGAATATAAGTGTAAAAGATTTGAAGTAAAAGTATTTGACATGTAAAAGAGTTTGATAAAACCATTTGATATGTAAAAGAGCTTGTAACACCGTTTGAAAAGTAGTTTGTTGAAAACACAGTTTGAAAAGTAATAAATCCACTAGATTGGTAGTTATTAATCACATGTGATTGATATAATAACTATAATTGATCAACTTGTATCCCCCCCCCATAAAAGCATTTAAAAACATTGGAAAACATTTAAAAGGTTAATTAAGGGGGTATGAACTCACCTGTAGGGAGTAACTCGAATGAAAGATCGATATAGGATTGTTGGGTGTCAATTGGAGTCTTGAGCACAAACAAATCCTATTTAACATATAATTACACATATATGAATACCTTCCATGTATATAACCACTAAAAGTGTTAGGGACACGCCTCAGGGACATAAAAACACTTAGAATTAAGTGTTACAAA